ATCCAGCTCCACAGCTAGCCATGCGGGCGGTTTTTTCAACTATCGCTCATTCTTTTTCATGATCACTCCGTTTTTCACATTTTCAGGTATGTCGAACGACATATACATTGTTAAGAGAGCTTTCTGGGCAGACGGGCATAGAGGGAGGTAATGAGTATGATCCATTGTGTCCTTGAACCGATAAATTAGCCCAAGATCCAAGAACTTCCATTTCAAACTCAACACCGAGGCTGCTGGGGAGGAACATGCTTGCGAGGGCGCTACGGTAGCGGTGTTTTTCATTGTCCTGGAGATCATTGTAGTTTTGGGCAATAACCAGAAGTTTGTCGATCCGTTCTTAGAACTTCTTTAAAGGCGTTTACATCGGTAGAAGCAGAGTTGTTGGGATCGAGAAGACGGACATATACATCTAGGTACATGAGCTCGCGCGGTTCGTAACCTTCTTCAATTCTCCCTTGATGCCTGCTCTCTTCAGGAGGGAGTGCATCTGCAACAGTTTATCGAAGACATCGCCCGATAGTGGACCGATATACATGTGTACCCTCTCATTTTGGCATGTGTAGTACACGTGAGGATCACACATGCCCCGTTGTAGCTTTCTCACCACCAGGTAAGGGTCATCAGAAAAGCCAAATCGAGAGACCGGATCATTTTTAAACAATGCGCCATGCTCGTCAACGATCAAGAATTTTGCGATTTACTTGCTTGAGTAGTCCCAGGATCTCTTCGGCGACGGCAACCGCAACAGGAGAAGAATTATCAGCATATCGCACAAGCCGCTTAAGCTCGACGACAGTCAAAATATCCTTGTTGAGCGCCAGGAAGTACTTGCAAATCACCTCGGCTGCCTCCTTTGATGTGTTCTCGTTCAACTCAGTTGCATCCGCTATGTAGAGGACGGGCACCCTTCGGCATAAGGAAAAGAGCGAGGTACGACTTCTCTATTAATTACAAAGTCCTGTCAAACAGATAACATTGGCTTCGTGACGAGAAGGAGGCGTTGATGAAAGTATTCCCCAAAGTGCTTGGGGTCTTGGCCAATTTTCGGTATATCAATTTGGTCGGGTTCTAATGTGTTGTCGTTGAGCACGTCAATCAACAAGGGCGGCAAGTCCACGGTTTGGTCATTAGAAGCAACGTATGGTTGCCAGTTCTCCAAATGGAGTCTCTTTGCAGCAGGCATTGCTGTAAAATCATAAGTAGAAAATAGTTGAAAAACGGAGTGATCATGAAAAAGAATGAGCGATAGTTGAAAAAACCGCCCGCATGGCTAGCTGTGGAGCTGGAT